TCACAAGCACTCTGCCACTGAGCCACAACCCCAGCCCCACCCTAGCCCTTTTTGTATTTTATTTAGAGACAGAGTCTCACTGAGTTACTTAGGGCCTCACTAAGTTGCTAAGGCTAGCTTTGAACTTGTGATGCTTCTGCTTTAGTATCCCAAGCTGCTGAGATTACAGGTGTGTGCCACCATGCCCAGCAAGAACATATTTATTTGGTATTGTTTTATATATTTATTTTTGGTACTGGTGATTTAACACAGGAGCACTTTACCACTGAGCCATATCCCCAACCTTTTTTTTGAGGCAGGGTCTCACTAAGTTGCTTAGGCCCTAGCTGAGTTATTAAGGCTTGTCTTGAAACTGTGATGCTCCTCTCTCAGCCTCCCAAGCTACTGGGATTACAGGCATGTACCACTATGCCCAGTGTGGTATTGTTTTTAAAATTATTTATTAATAGTTGGTTTTACAGCAGGCTGGTGATATTTATCTCATGGTATCATGGTACATAATTGTGTAGCATTTCTTGGTCTTAGGCTACTGTTATTCTTCAAACTCTGAAAAAGTATAAACATTTCTGGTTTCCATCAAGACTCTAGATCAGTGAGTGTGTATTGATTCTTTTCTGTGTGTGACATGTTGGTGTATGACATGGGAATTAAAGTGAAAAACAGCATTTATGTGTGTCTGTGTAAATAAAAGACATACACATCGTTATATAGAGGCATTCTATATTTTTTTATTCAGTTATTTTCTTAGTTTTATGCTACAAAGTATATATTTGATAGGATGTGACTTTTTTTTTTACAAAAAATATTTTTTTTTAGTTGTAGATGGACACAATGACTTTATTTTATTTATTTATTTTTATGTGGTGCTGAAGATCAGACGCAGTGCCTCACACATACTAGGTGAGTGCTCTGCCACTGAGCTACAACCCCAGCCCAAGATTGTGACATTTTTATCAATGAAAACAAAGAATTATGCAATGAAGAGGGATCACCTAGTAAACATTCTAATTGTATTTAATATACCATAGACTGGATGCTTTTCTGACTCATTTAGAATGGTATTTCCTGAAGTTTAGATGGCTTCTCCACCCTACATTCTTTACATAGTAGGGTGCAGTATGAAGCAGTAGAAATAATAGAAGAAGCATCTTTAATTGAAGTTTTTATAAAATAAAAAATTGGGTTCCAATCTATTTTTAATTTTTAAACTATTCATTCATTCATTCATTCATTTTTGTGGTACTAGGGATAAAACTCCAGGGTGTTTTACCTCTGAGCTACTTCCCCAGCCCTCTTTAGTTTTTGAGACAAGGTTTCCCCAAGTTGCCCAGGCTGGCCTCAAACTTGCAAACCTCCTAGTTTGCTGGGATTATAGGTGTGCACCAGTGTGCCTTGCTTTATTTTTTAAATTGACAAAAATTACATAAATTAATGGTTTAAAAAATGATGTTTTAAAAAATGTATACTCAGGGCTGGGGATGTGGCTCAAGCGGTAGCGCGCACGCCTGGCATGCGTGCGGCCCGGGTTCGATCCTCAGCACCACATACCAACAAAGATGTTGTGTCCGCCGAAAACTAAAAAATAAATATTAAAATTAAAAAAAAAATGTATACTCTGTGAAATGGCTAAATAAAACTAACACATACTATCTCACATACTTACCAATTTTGTGTGTGTGTGTGTGTGTGTGTGTGTGTGTGTGTGTGTGTGTGTGTGGTGAGAACACTTAAAATCTACTCTTACCAATTTTCAGGTATGTAAGACTTATTATTGACTATAGTTACTGTGTTACAGTACTATAGTTACAGTAGATCTCAAACTTATTCCTCCTAAAAGTATTTTTTTTTTAATTTTAAATAGAAGTAATTTTGAATAAATTTATTTTAATTTTCTAGTTAAGTCCATTTGTATTCTGTTTCTAAGATTTTTTTTTTAAAGACAATTATTTGAGTTGGTAATTTGCCACTGATTAAATTAGGCAGTCCATGATGAATCTGTACATTGTATGTGATAGTTTCAAATTTTCTTTTAGAAGCAGCTAAATATTCTTAGTTAAGTAAATGAATATCTAACAGCTTTTTTTCTTGATTAATATTAGTCTTCTAAATTAATGGTCATGTGTCATTATTAAGAAATTAACCTTCAGAATGTATGACTGTTGTTCCTCCTTCATTTCCTTATTATGGTTGTTCAGTTTTCAAAACTTGAGTGTAATCATCAGGCCAAACCCTTCATTGGAATATGTTTTGCTATATAGTCAGAAGATAGTCTGAGCTGCTTAGTCACCTAAAGGAGGCAGGTTAGAAAATTATTTCTTTAATGGTTCTGTGTTTAACATCTAGAAGCTGGTAGTGGTCAATACAGATCAGAATTTGTATTTACCAAATCCAAGAATGGAAAAATTAGATTTTTCATCAGCTCTTCACATTGACTGTTCCCATGATGCTGAAATCAGGTATTTGATTTTTACTTTTTTAAAGTTCTGATTCTAATACAACCAGCTTTCTCTAAGGCAGTGAATTGATTTTTTTTTTTTCCTTAATGAACATAGCTAATGAATTCAGCAGTGGTTTTTATTATGTTGAGCTGAAATTTGATAAATAATTAGGCTTATGAATTTCTTGCTAACCAATCTTTTGCCTTATTTTAAAATATATTACGATCACTTTAAACTTTTTAAGACATTTGTATATTTGTGTGAAATTTGTATGTTTATTTGAATTGATTGAAATTTAGGCCTCCAAACTCATAGCAATCTTTATTTAAACCTGTTGAACTATAGTTTCTTCTCAAATTTATTATATGTATTTAAGGAATAAAAGTAAATTTGTTTATATATATAAAATAATTTTTGTAATACCTATATACAGATTGATATACTAGTAGATTTAAAAATGTTTATAAAGACTGTTTTTTTAAAACCTCAAATTAATAGCATGTATCAGGTTACATGCAGACAGAAATGCCAGGTCATGAGATAATTTTTGATTTCTTTCTCTCATAAATACTGAAGGATATCATATGAATATTGTTCAGTTTTTCTAAAAAAATTGATACATATTTTGGGGGATACAGTCATAATTAGATACATGCATACGATATGCAATGCAATAGGGATAATTAGCATTTGTGTCTTCTTCAACAATTAATTCTTTGTGTTGGGAGCCTTAGCACTCTCTCCTGTAGTCTTTTGTGAAATATATAATAAACTTGTAAACTATAGTCGCCCTACTTTGCTATAGAATGCTAGAACTTATTCCTTTTATGTAAGTCTATTTTGGTACCTGTTATCCATCCTCTATACACCCTCCCCCTACCCTTCCTAGCTTCTAGTGACCACTATTCTTCTCTTTCCTTCTTTGAGGTCAACATTTTTAGCTTGCACTTGTGAGTGAGAGGGTACAGTATTTATCTTTTTGTGCCTGGTCAGCCATTTAGCTTTTTAATTGTCATCAATAAGGCTGACTTAACTGTCATTTTAGTATGATATCAAATATTCAAATGAGTAAATTATTAAAATTTCGGTAGCCATTTTATAAGTTGAAAAATCACATGGAACAACTAGATCCTCAGGAATGCTAGGGAGTCATGTTCTTTCTTTGTTTCTTTATTTTTTTAGTTTTAGGTTGACATAATATCTTTATTTTATATTAATGTGGTGCTGAGGATCAAACCCAGTGCCTCACACATACTAGATGAGCACAAGCACTTTACCTCTGAGCCACAACCCCAGCCCCTCATATTTTTAAAATAATCCACAGATGGAGGATGACCTATTAGAATAAGAGTGAGGTAGAACAGCAAAGTATTGTTAAATTTTTTTTTGTCACTATATCATTCTACTGCCTTGATTATTGTTTCCACATTCCTAAGGAATGTCAGGTGAAGACTCAGAAACTAATAAGGTTTTTTTGGTGATCAGAATAATCCTATTCTGAGCTGCTGGCGAGATTTGGATTTTTAAAAAAGAGTTATACCAGTGAGAGTAATGGCTAACAATCCAGTTGCTTTTCCTGTTCCCCCACTCCTAAGTTATAGTAATTCTTTGAGTGCTTGTGTATGACAGACAACAATCCTATCATATGTTATTTCTTTTCCATAGATGGAAAATCAGAGTTTACAGATAAGTAATTTATCTCCAGTTCCAGAAAGTGGAGGAATTGGAATTTAAACCTTTTTTCTGGCTCTGTTTCTCTTTCCATTATGTCATATGCTCTTCTGAATAAAGCTGAAAATAATTTTACTTTGAATGTACAGCATGTAATAGTGTTTTAATTATTTGATGACTAACTTAAACATCTTAATAATTACAGAAAACTTTATGGTAAGATAATGTTTAAAGAGATAATTAGGTAATGTTTAAAGAGATAAAGGGTTTCTTAAAATTTAAGTAGTATTTCCTTAAGTACACCTTATGTTTTGTTTTTAATTTGAATCACCACTAGGATTTATTTGCCATCTGAGTATTCTTAGACTTTAGCCTACTTGTTTACATTTCTTCTCCTGTTGTTGTGTAATCCCTATGCATTATATTGGTTAGGAGGCAGGAATGTTGCAGATGTTTGTTTGTTTGTTTTTTTCCAAGCTTCAGCTTGCTCTGAGATTTGAAATACATACTTTAGAGCGTTCTTGATTTATCCCCCATATGCCAAAGATATGTAGCTATCTTTTCACATGAGCTGAGAATTTCAGGCAATTGAGTTTTCCCTAAGAGCAGTTAATAAAATTAGAAAAAAAGACCTCAGTGTGGAAATAGTTTCATCCTGTAATGTGATCAGCACATAAATACTTCCTTTTCTTGTAGTTCACATTGTTCATTTTCTAAGGGAGGAAATAACTAATAATTAAAACATTAAATTATTTTAACATACATACCCCCCCCAATAAACTGAAAATGATTGTGACTGACTAGGGCTGTTTGATTCTGTGACACATTGTGTACTGTTGGAGGGCCTCATTAGGGGGTAAATTTGCTTTTTCTGGGTTTGCCAGTAACAATTACTATTTTTCACAGGAACTTGCCATTTGTATTGTCTCTTTCCTTAACTGGACAATCTTAAACAGTTCAGACCATTAGTTATTTTTCCTGGTCTTCATTTTTTTTTTTCTATTAGTAGGATTTCAAGTATTTAAAGCTGAGAATATTGGTCACAGAGATATTGCCTTGTTAGGGTTCGGCATTGTGCCCGAATTTGTTGGGCCTCTCAGGGCCTGAGTTCTCTGTGCTCTAACAAATGAGCTACAGTTCTCAAGAGATCAGTGGAGCTTGTTTGTTGATCCTGTATTCTTATTCCGAGGAAGTAGATCTTTAAGAATGTCTAAGGAAGGGTAAGTGAGTTTATTTTTCTTTCTCATTTTCTCAGTGAAGAGCTGTCATGTCATCTGAGTGAACTGGAAAATTAATAAGCAATGCTGCCAATCTGAGAATGGGGTGGAGGCAGAGATTGAAAGAAATTCAACCCAAAAGCTTATAAGTGGCTCATGTGTAATCTGTTGTAAACCTATTGCTGATTTTAGAGACAGCATTGAGGATGGGTAATCTTAATAGGAATTTAGTAAGATAAAAGTACCCTTTTTATCCTATTGTAAGCTCATTTTGCTTTTTTTTTTTATTTTTTTAAATCTGTTTTTGAAGCATGGAAGCAGACAGTGGTGGTTTACCTAAGAATTGAGTGAAGTTGAAAAATTTGAAGGCATCTTAAAACAAATTTTTCTTTTAGGAAATGTGAAAGATTGAGCGAAAATCAACCTATGATTTTGTTTCTGGGAAGTGTAGGCAAAAAATAATTTAAAGTAGAATTCCCTGTTTCTTTTTACTTGATAATACAAAATAGTTCTGTAAGGTATTTATATAATTTCATCTTGTGAGTCTGAATTATTATGATTTTCCTTTTTGACCACTATAATAAGTTAATGAATTCATACTGTAGATTATTTCATGTCTAGGATTAAAGCACAACTAGACCTGGTTAATTTTAGAGAGACATTCTCTTTGGTTAAGTAGGACAGAAATATCTCAAAAGAATTTTTAAAATTACAGTAAAATTTTAATTTTTATTTTGTCAGAGCTTTTCTTTCTTTGATTCTTTTGTTGTGTAAGAAGTTCTGAAATGGTTCCAGAGCTTATGATTTATTTTAATCAAATAATGTATTGATTATGGGCAAATAAAACTGGCCCACTTTTACTGCTTATTATCGAATAGGAGAACAATCAAGGTATTCATAATTTTGTATTATTATTAGACATCTCAACAATTTTGTGGCTTCTCAAATTATGAAAGGACTGTATAATTTTGGTTTTTATGTTTTGGTTATAAATCTATAGTTGCTAAATAGTTTTTATGATAGGAATTGTCACAGATGCTGCATATTTGTCAGTCTTGTATATGGTTGTTTGTAAAGCTAATTTATAGATTTAAGATGAACTATATTTCTCAATGAAGTTAAAATTCCTGGGAAGTAATTAGTGCTAATTTTACACTATAATAAATAAAGTATGTCAAAATTGTGTTGTTAGATCTGTAGAAACCAAAAGATACTAAAAAGGCTGAGATATTCTTTTATCTGTAGGGTCCCATTGGCAATTCCTTTATTATCTGAATAATCATCAAGTACATTTGAAGTACATGGATTACATAAATGAAATGAATTAACTTTAATTCTTTAGAATAGGGACTGGGGATATAGCTCAGTTGGTAGTGTGTGCTTGCCTTGTATGCACAGGCCCTGGGTTTGATCCCCAGCACCACGTACCAAAAAAAAAA